ATAAAATGTGCACATCTGTGTTTTGCAGACAATTACAGAAATATGAAAAATTCAGCTAAGTGTAGAGTGACGACTCCTGTTCAGAGAACAAACAGTTCTCAGCTGCATTATATATTTCTCTCTGAAGTTTCTTATTCTAAGAGCCTAAGATAACACTAAATAGAGCACTCTTGAGATGTTTTATATAATCCTTCTGAATTGTGGTTTCTGGGAGCCAGCTGCAGCAGGATTGCTTCTATGAGAACAACTTGATCGATTTTATTGGGTGAAGAGGTGCGACCAGCTACATCAGTGCTTGATGAACTCTTTATGCTTTCGTTGAAGCTCATCAGATGACTTAAGTCAAGCCATTATGTATGTTAAGAGGGAAGTGCTGTGCTAAAGGCAATGGAATCAAAGGACTGATCACATGGATTATTTCTGTATTATAGGGTGGCCATCCATCATAGTTTGCTGGAGACTGAGGGGGTTTTCCCAGGACGAAGGGCATGATGATGAACTACCCCTTCCTTTGTATGTTTAATGCTAATTTTAGAGGAGGTGGCAAATATTTAGACATAAAATAAAATCACATTTTTTGTTTGCACAATGCTCTTTTTCTGAGATTTATAGATTAAAATCGGGAAAGATTTAGATAATGGCTATAAATATTTTATGCTTTTAATTTAAGAAGCTGTAGTGGAGTGGCTATTCAGAAGCACAATCATAGCGTGTTACAGCCTTGAACTCCTGGGCTTAAGTGATCCTCCTGCCTCAGCCTCCTGCGTAGCTGAGAATATAGGCCCGTGCTACCACACCAAGCTCTGTTTTATCTTAATGGTCTTTCTGCACCAACTGATGAGAAGTTCCTGGGTTTTTTGAGATTCTAGCAGTAATTTGGTTCTGTAGCAAAAACCAAGAAGAATGCCTAACTTTTCACTTTTTAAAATAGCTGTGTAGACTGTTTCCACATCAGTAATTTCACATTGTCTTTATTCATGTCTTATACAACATGGTACTGTACAAATTAGACTCAGTTCCTAAAAAGCGTTAAGAGTAAGAAGTTAGTAGTATGCAGTTTAGCCATGTGCAGAAGACTTCAGTGATGTAAGTTACTTGGTAAATTTGATATGTAATCCTCAATTAATTACTTATATCCCATTTCCTATTGCATCACTTACAAGCAACTCTGGGAGGATGATTTCACTTGCATCTCAGTTTAGTGCCTTTGTATCCATATCCTTCTGGAAAAGGTTTCTTTTTTTAAAAATATATTTTTTATTTGTATACATTAATGGGGTAAAAGTGCGATTCTGCTACATTGCTACACTGCATTGTGGCAGAGATGGACCCTTCAGTACTTCATCACTGGAGCAATGCACATTGTACCCACCAAGCTGGGGAAGGTTTCTGAAGCCATGCTCATTGCGTTTCAGCTTGATTCTTAGTTCTTGTTATTCATTATGATATATGTTTTTCTGCTGCTTGTTCTTTTATCTTGTGGCATTTTTCAGTCTCTTGCTATTAAACCATTCAGGTCATATAACTCACACATACCATGATTTATACTGTTTTTTTTTTTTTTTAATTTTAAACCAGCCTGTACAGGTCTATATATCCAACTGCCTACTTGGCATTTCCACTAAGGATGTCTAATAGTCATTTTAGACTTCTCCCAAACTGAGCTCCTTATATTTTGCCCTATAAACTACCTGCTCTCGCTGTCTTTTCCATCTCAGATAATGGCAGTTCCATCCTTCCAGGTACTGACATCCCAACACTTGACATAATTTTGATTCTTCTCTTTCTCTTTTACCTCAAACTTAATCTGTTTGGAAATTCTGTTGACTCTATATTTAAAATAAATTTAGAACTCAACTATTTCTCATCACCTTCACTGGTACCACCGGTCCAGGTCTCCTTCATCTCTTTCCTGTATTATTGCAGTAACTTCCTAACTGATTATACCCTTGTCTCTCTTAGTCTATTCTCAATGTAACAGTCAGAGTGATCCTGTTAATACATAATCCGACCTTGTCAGTCCTTTTCTCAAAACCATCCAGTGGTTCCCCCTCTCATTGAAAATAAAAACAAAGTCCCAAGTAGGCCCTCCAAAGTCCTATAGACTCTGGCATCCATTTACCTCTTTGACCTCATCTCCCACTACTTTCCTACTTTCTCATTGCATTCCATCCTCACTGGCCTTCTTACTCTTCCCTCAACACTCCAGCCTTGTTCCCAACCCAATCCTTTACACTTGTCTCTCCCTCTGTCTGGAATACTTTCCCCCTATATGTCCTTCTGGCAGATTTCTTCATATTATTCAGTCAATTCTGTAGTGAAGCTTTCTTAGGCCACCCTATCTAAAATTTTCACTCCTTTTCCCCAATATTTTACATGCCCCCATTCTCTGCTTATTTTTCACTTTAGTTTTTATACTATATACTATGAATTTGTGTTTATTATGTTATTGTTCATCCCTCCCACTAGAACGTAAGTACTATAAGGTCAAAGTTTTTGTCAATTTTCTTTACTGCTATGTTCCTTGGTGTCTAAAAGGAAATGTATCCACAGTAGTTACTCAGTAAATATTTATTGAATGGATGATTGGAAAAGACAGTATTTATTTTGATTATTGTTCATTGCTTCAATCTGAAAAAATTAAAAAGATTAATCCAATAAATAGAATCAGATTTATATGACACAGCCATGCTTGAGGATATAATGTTGACAGTAAGTATAAGGGGAGGTTTTTGGAACAAATATTCAGGTGTTACTATACATGCTAGAGAGTATTTTCTTGGAATAAACAAGTAAGGAATACAGCTGTTCAAAAATTGACATAACGCTGTTAATTGACAAAATCTGAGAATACAACAAACTGTGCAATGAAATTGAGCTTATTAGTCTTTTACTCCAATAGAAGATCAACTCTAAGACCTTTAAACAGGACTGGCCTTGTGAAATTAAATGCACTCAAATATGTATATGTGATTAGAACCACTGCTTTCCTTTAGGAAGTTACTAGTAAATTTAGGGGAAACCAGTAATTATTCGTATCAATACTGGAAGATTTTTTTAAGAAGATGTCTATGAAGCATTTGTAAAGTTTGCCACAGTTATCTCTGTCAGCTTCCTAACCTTTTTTCAGTTTTCCAGTGTTATATTAGTTAGTTATTGGTACATAACAAATTATCCCAAACTTAAGTGGTATAAAACAACGAGAATTTGTTATCTCAGATTTCCATGTGTCAGGAATCCAAGAGCAGTTTAGCTAGATGTCTCTAACACAAAGTCTGTCGTGTGGTTGCAGTCAAGATATTGGGGAGGGGGCACTGCTGCATTCTCATCTGAAAGCTTGACTGGACGGAAGGTGGAGGCAGGAGATCTGCCTCCAAGGTCACTTAGTGCTTAGTTAGTCACTTACCAACACCAAAGTTCCTTTGTGTGTTAGGCCTCTCTACCAGGCTGCCTCACGAAGTGACAGCTGGCTTTCCCCAGGGTAATCTATATAGGAAACAATGCTAACAAGATGGAATCACAGTCTTTGTACAGTCTAATCGCAGAAGAGACTTCCCATCACATCTGCCATATTCTGTTCATTGGAAGTGATTCGGTAGGTCCAGCATACACTCAGAGAAGGGATCATACACCAGGAAATGGGATCACTGGGGGTCATTCTAGAGATTGCCTACCACATATACTTTAACCTCTTTTCATACAAGCTGGCTAGTTGTGATAACATGGCCATCAGTAATAATGACTTCAGCACAATTAGTTCATTGTCAACAAAGCTATATTTTTTAGTTTATCTGTGAAACAACTCAATTTATAAAAGAATGAGCTTAAATGGGTGACTGCAGAAAAATGAATAGAGCAAATGCTTTTAAAGCATTAGAACATATTTTAATTTCAAGCATTGTGAAGTAGCCATCTTTTTAGGGGAAATAACAGGTTCAAGATTTTCTCCAAGGGGATGGCAGAAGCCCAGAACAAGCAACTGCTACCTTGTTTTGTCACAGTCAATTGAGATTCCTTCACTTTGTTTAAATAAAAAAAAAAACAACAACAACAACAAATAATGTAATCAGTGGAATTTTTGAATTTTTGTTTTTACATTAGTTTTGATATGTTGCCATGTTTTGTATTTGAATTGAAGGAGCGCTGAGAACTCTGTTCCTCCTAAGATGTACCAAAACATTTATCCCTAGGCAACATTTAGCATAATGTATGTTAAAATAGTTATGAAACAAAAGGTCAGCAGTCTTTTTCCTGTTTCTTTTAGTTGATTGCAAGTTCTTCATTCAAGATGATCTTCCTAAAGACCAATAGCTCCAGATAATATGCTTGGTATTTAGTAGGTCCTAAGAAAATTTTGTCTGACTTAATAAAATTTGTCTTTCTTATTAATATTCCTTTTTTTGCCATTCAATAAAAAATTTGTTCTACTTTGCTGGTGTCTTTGTAGAAGCTTTTTGCACAATGCTTGTTATATAATCAGCACTCAGTAAATGTTCTTTTCTTTCTCGTAGACGAAACATACTAAATATGTAGTGTTAAGTGCTTTCATGGCATGCAGAACTAATATTTAATAGTGCATGGGTTTTATATATTTTAAAATGATCTTAAATTTAAGGAATGAATAACTTTTGACTGTCTCTTACATTTTGTAAATAATTTTTACCACTCCTAAACCAGATCTTGAAGTACAATTGAAAGTAATTTTTGACTTGGGTAATTTTCAAAACAAAGTACTTGGGTGAATCCATTTTTCTTTTTCTACTCCTCCTCCAAATTAAAACAAATATTTGATAATGCTTAAGCCAAGATCTTTTTTTGTGTAGAAAACGAAATTCCTTATAAATTAGGATTATTAGAATTGATGCGCATGTGCTTTCTACTTATAAACTAATGCTATTTTCCTTGTCCTTTTGTTTCACTGCTGCTTCCATCCTGATGCATTTTGCTTCTTCCTGATTTGGACTGTATTTGCTTGCTGCTCAATTACCCTGCATTAAAAGCTTCTTGGTGATAGCAAAGATGTCCTTTGGCCATCAAGTAAGTAGCTAAAGTTTGAACGGCATGTTTGGGGGACATGATAATATTTCGATGTGTACTTAGGAAAGGCAAATGGCATTTCAATTTTGATTTATTAAGTCTTCTACTTTTGTTTCTAGGAATTGAAATACAAAGTAAAGAATATAGATGGTCATTCAGTGCTCATCTGTTCTCATTGTCTGTCTGAGATTGATAGTATTTGAATGTTTACATCTTGATATCTAAAGATGCATTATTTACTTATTCAATTATCTAATTCATAATTTAGGATCTCTTCTTCATAATACACTTTCCTACAAGCATCACAAGGCATAGATCAGACCACTTTGAGGCTAGGGATGGTACAAGGAATTTACTGACATATGAAAGTAAGAAATGCTGTTCTATTTTATTAGAATTTTTATTTATTATTTATTTATTTTTGAGACAGGATCTCATTCTGTTGCCCAGGCTAGAGTGCAGTGGCATGATCATAGCTCACTGCAGCCTCAAACTCCTGGGCTCAAGTGATTCTCTTGCCTCGGCCTCTCAAGTAGCTGGTATTACAGGTAAACACCACTGTGCCTAGCTAATTTTTTTTTTTTTAATTTTTGTAGAGACAATGTTTCACTATATTGCCCAGGCTGGTCTCGAACTCCTGGCCTCAAATGATCCTCCTGCCATGGTCTCCCAACGTGCTAGGATTACAGCATAAGCCACCACATCCAGCCAGAATTTTTACATAATAGATAATTTGGTAATGAAATTTTTTGTATTTTGGGTATTTCTTAAGTGAAACATGTCTTACCTCAGGGATTTGGAAGATGTACCCTTTAAAATTATATCCCATTCACCTCAACAAAATTTCACTGAGAGTGTTTTTTTTAGGGCAGGGGTTTGACATTATGCTAACATTTGGGTACATACAATGAATAAAACATGTCCCTGCACCTAAGGATTTTTATAGTCTAGGCTGGGGAGTGATGGGACATTTTTTGTGTTAAAAATCATGGAATTACTGAGGTAAAAGGGGCTTCAGAGATCATCTAATAAAGCATTAATTTTATAGATGAAGAGCCTGAAACTGAGAACTTAAATATTTAAGAAGTTAGAATTGGTTACTAGCCCAGTATGTCTGTCTTCTACTGTTAATCAAAAATCAAAATGAAACAATTAGTTTGCTGAAGTCCAGTCTAACCAAATAATTAAAATTTTACTGTATCGTAAATTAGAAAAAGATTTTAATTTTGTTAAAGAGCAATGTAGGAAGTTATATTGATTTAGGAAGTTTTAAGTTTTAGTATTTATCTCTGAATAATCATCTGTTGCAAGTAAGCTTACTGCACTGGGGTTCATTGTTTTTCACTGAACAAAGGAAAGGACTGAACGAGATAATGGCAAACGTTTCTTCTAGCTATAAATTTTTTGGGTCTAGATCAGTTGCTATTTGTCCCTAATACTGGTTATAGTATGTATGTAATTTTTCTCTTAAAAGAGATGATTTAAAGTAATATGCTAAATTCCTTTTTTCATTCTTATTGTAACAATTCCCAATATTTTAATTATATTGTTAATTATACAACCAGCATTATTAGGGTAGTAGAAATTTTACAAGTAAGAAAAAGAACACAAATCTCAAAACATTTTTATGTTTTGTTGTTCAGCTTTGTGATACTTGGCAGATAATTTCAATGGATTCTTCAGTTACTTTAGTTACCTCATATATTTAGATGTTGACTCAGGTGAACTGAATGGCACTGCTGAACTTTATAAATGGAAGGGCATTTTTAATATTAACTGAAGGGCTTTTATCATAGGAACTGGGTTTTATAAATGGAAGTCTTTAATTTTTACTTGGAATAAAAGAAATTTATTAAGGTTATATATTTTAAGCATATATAAATAAAAATATATAACGTATATTAGAGATGACTTTGTAATATACTCTGTTAAGTATTAAAAGGCTGAGGTTGTGTAATTATTAGCTAGAGACGATACATCTTTTAACATGAAGTACAATTGATCCTTGAACAACATGGGTATAGGTCGAGTGGGTCCACTTATAGGCGGATTTTTTTTCGATAAATTTGTTGGAAAATTTTTTGAAGAATTGCGACAGTTTGAAAAAACTTGCAGACCGAACCATGTAGCCTAGAAATATCACAAAAAGGAAAAGTTAGGTATGTCATTAATGCATGAAATATATGTAGATACTATTTTATCATTTACTACCATAAAATATATACAAATGTATTATAAAAAGTAAAAATTTATCAAAACTTACATACGCAAACACTCACAGACCGTACGTGGTGCCATTCGCAGTGGAGAGACAAGTAAACAAATGTAAGGATGTAGTATTAAATCATAAAAGTAACTGTAGTACGTACTGTGCTATTAATAATAATTTCATAGCTGCCACTTGTTGCATTACAAGTATCTGCTTAAATGCAGTATGGTACTTACCATCTACATGTGAATAGTTCCTCTCTCAAGTAAATTGTGTATCACAGTGAAAAGTGATCTTTCCCGGTTCTCACATAGTTTTCATCATGTTGAATGCAATACTGTAAATTTTGAATGACATTATGAGACTCATACAAAGTGCCACTGGTGATTCTGTGAGTGCTCCCAAGAAGCAGTGAAAGGTCATGACATTATAAGAAAAAGTTGTATTTGCTTGATATGTACTGTAGATTAAAGTCTACAGCTATGGTTGCCTGTCATTTCGGACAAATGATTCATCTTGTAAACAGACAACGTAAACTTAATGGTATCGATAAATACAGTATTGTAAATGTATTTTCTCTTCCTTATGATTTTCTTAATAACATTTTCTTTTCTCTGGCTTACTTTATTGTAAGAATACAGTATATAATGCATATGACGTACAAAATATGTGTTAATCAACAGTTTGTTATGTGTGAGGCTTCCAGTGAACAGTAGACTATTAGTAGTTAAGTTTTTGGGGAGTCAAAAGTTATACGCAGATTTTTGGCTGCATAGAGTGTCTGCACCCCTGACGTCCATGTTGTTCAAGGGTCAACTGTAATTTCATGATACTTGTTTAGAATATATTGGTACAATTGAGTGAAAAAACTACATGATATATATCAACATTTATATTATTTGAATATTTAAGAAATAGTTTAGTACCTTAGAAGAAAAGGAGACTTAGGATTTACATACAAATTATTATTTATGTCTTTTAAAAAACTTTTTCATCTTAACTTAGCTTCTACGTAAGTGCAAACATCAGACTTTGAAGCTTGTAAAATTCTTCAAATTTTATATTTATGAGTTGAATTCAGAAAGTTCATAAAGTTATGGACTCATATTCTCCTTAGAAGGCACAGCTGGTATGTTAATCATATTACTATTATGTATTCCAGTATGATTTCTACTGTACTTAACACGAATAAAGTAATGTGAGTAACAAAGTAGGTTAATTTACTTTCACTATAAGTAGAACCAGTAGAGGGCACTATAAGGTTATCTTTTATAGGCGAGTCCGTTGATTGTAGTGTCAGAAACAGTGCTGGAATCATACAGCGATTCATTTGCCAAATATCTGTTCAGTCATTTAGCAGATATTTATAGAGTATCAATTATGTGCCGAGGGATACAGACCGAAACAAAGTCATTGTGCCCCTCTTAAACTTATATTTGAAGAGTCCACTATTGTGTAAATGATGTAGGACATCATAGTAATTTTTATATCATGCAGCCCCTTTTGTCTGTATAGTTGTTAATGTTTGTGAAAGAGGTGAGGAAAAACAAATAGAAAGATGAGCTTTCTGTTTTTTTATTTTGTAAAGAGGTATGCTCTGTATATTGCTGTTTCTCTGTACTCTCACTTCAAGGTTATCAAAAATCAAACAGTAATACCTCAATTGAAAATGGATTAGAAAGGTGAATAGAACTAAAATGATGCTTCTTGGACTGTTCCCTTTTTTATATAGTAAAGTTATTCATAGATACTTAGGTCTTACTAATAGAACACTAAAGCATACGTTAATTCTATTATTACTGCTTATATTTGAAATTAGCATTAAATGGACTGTCTAGTATATACAAAAGAATGTGTCATGTGTGTATGATAAAGCATAATCACACAATGAACACGTCTGGTCCTACAGCTCAGCTTCAGAACTCTAGAATCTTACAAATACCTAACATCTTTCTGTTTGCTGCTTCTCTCTTCTATCCTGTGCCTGTCCCAAGAGGGGATGAGTAGGTTGTATTTTTTTTTTTCTTTTTACCATTCTTTGCTTTGTAAAAAATAGGTTTTTTAAAATTTTCCATCACATGCATATTTTAATATGTATCACTAAGTTTTGCTTGGTTTTTAATTTTGAAAGAATGGTATCATGCTATATGTAATCTTCTAGGACTTTTTGTAGTTGTTTTATTTTTAAGATTCCCAGCCATGTTGTTCAGTATAGATATGGATCATTCATTTTGTGCTATATACTACCCCATTATATGCATGTGCCACAATTTATTAATCTATTTTATAGTCAGTTGATGAATATTTAAGTTGATTTAATTTTTGCTATTACGAACAATGTTGCTATGAACATTCTTACGCTTGTCTCTTGGTACATACCTGTTAAGATTTTTCCTAGATTCTGAGAGTGGAATTGTTGGACCCATAGGGTAGGCTGAAATTCAGTTTTATATAAGATAGCTACAAATGGTTTTCCAAAATACTTGTATCAATTTATATTTCCACCAGTAGAGCTTAAGACATCTTGTGGATTCCATCCTCATCAGTATTTGGCATTTTCAGACTTACTAATTTTTGTCCATTTTACTGAGTGTAATATATTTATGTCATTGTGATCTTGATTTGTATTTCCCTCATTTCTAAAGAGGACGAACATCTTCTCATATACTTACCAACAATTTGCAATTCTTTTTCTGTGAAATCACTGTTCACATCTTTTGCCCATTTATTATGCTGTCTTTTTCTAATTGGTTTATAGGAGTTTTTTTTGAAGAACATTCTGGACACCAACCCTTTGTTGATTATGTGTTGCAAATATCTTCCGTTTTGTGACTTTCTTTTCATTCTCTTTATGGTATCTTTTAATTGAATGAATTCATAATTTTAATATAGTAGGATGTATCAGTTTTTTGGTTTGTGGTTAATGTTTTGTTGTGTCTTCTTAAAAAATGATGGTGTCTCACTGTTTTGCTCAGGTGACCTTGAACTCTTGGGTTCAAGTGATCCTCCCACCTCAGCCTCCCAAATAGCTGGGACTACAGGTTTGTGCCACTGTGCCCAGCTGTTGTGTCTTTTTAAAGGAACCATTCCCTCTCCCAAGCTTATGAAAATATGCTAAAGGTTTTCAAGTTTTGCTGTTTACATTGTGTCTTTAATATTTATAGAACTATTCTTTATGTGTGGTATGAGGTAGGGTTCGATTTATTTTTCCAATATGGATAACCAGTTGTTCTCATGTTATTAGTTGAGTAGTCTTTTCCCTATCTCTGTCTCATATCTAGGCTCCACAAATGTTATGTGTCTGTTTCCGATAGCTGTCTGTTATGCTCTTGAGGCCAATTTATCTTGGTATCAGCACCACACATTTTAAATTTCAATAATTATTTTTAGGAATCAAATGAATCTTGGATTTAGTAACTGAAGGAGCCACCAAATACTTTACAATGTATTTATGAAGTTTCATAAAAATATAAAGTTGGTTGATTGATTCACTCAACAAAATTTTATTGAGCACCTTTAGTATACCAGGAAACAGCACCATCAATATGCCATGAAGTATACCAGGACCTGAGAATTTATGGGAAAATAAGGCAGACAAAACTCCCTCATATGGAATTTAAGGTCTAGGTCTAATGGAGGAAGGCACACAATAAACAACTAAATGATATCACTTCAGGTAATGAGAAGAGCTACAATGAAAATTATGTAGGGTAAGGTGATAGAATATAACCCTGAAGTGGTAGGCATTAATCCTAAAAAATATTTATAAATCGTGCTATATTAAAACTAAAAACTTTATTTATCAAAAAGCACCATGAAGAAACCAAAGGGCTTTTCTGAACAGATGACATTTGAGCACAGACAACAAATGAGAGGAGCCAATAATGTGAAGATCTGGGGGAGGAGTATTTCAAGTAGAAGGAGCAAGAAATATAAAAGGGACACGATGGCATCTCTTGAGGAATACCAAGAAGGGCATCATGGCAGGTGCCAAGTGAGTGGCAGGAGAATGGTACAGAATGAAGTTGGAAAGATAAGCAGGTGCCAGACTGTGTTGCATCTCCAGGTCTTGGATTTTATTGTAAGCATAATGGAAAGCCATTGAGAATATTTCTGATTTATGTTTTTAAAAGATTACTTGGGCTTCTGTGTAGAGAATATACTTTACACAACAGGAAGCAAGATGATAAGTTGGTAGAAATCTGCTGCTGTGGCCCAGTGGAAAGGTAATGGTGGCTTGGATCAGGTGGTGGTTGTGGAAGTGGGGAGAAGCAATGGGATTCCAGATACGTTTTGAAGGTATAGTCTAAAGATTTCACAAATGAATTGTATGTGAGATGTAAGAGAAAAATCAAAGAACACATTTAAGGTTTTTGGCCTGAGAAAGTAGGGGTAGGGGAGTAGTGATGGCACTGACATGCGTGGGAGGCAGTTTTGGAGGATAAGTGGAACCAAGAATTACATTCTAGGTAAATTTGAGATGCCTGTAAATAATGAAGAGGTGATTATAAGGCAGGCAGTTGGGTGAGTTTGAGTTTGGGAGAAGTATTATAGCTGGAGATAAAATTTAGGAGTCATCAGTCTAGAGTGTTTTTTTATTGACTTGGTGGGAAAATAATTTTTTATACCTTTGCATGAGAAATGAAAATGTTTTTGTATTTTTACTTTGAAATATAAAGAGCTAAAATATAATTTTGAAAACTTTAGCATATTGGAAAACATTAAAACAAATTTATTAAAAAGATGTGACAAAAATGTGAATATGAAGTTCTGGTTAAGTTGAAAAATTAAATCTAGAGTGAAGACCAAATCATGTAGTCTGCAAGCAAAGAAATGTACAGTGAAAGAGCTTGGGGATCCTGGGACACTGGACTTAGGACTTATTTGCCCTGTTCCTTCATTTAGTGTTTTCTCTTCTTTATCTTCTCTGAAACTGAGCATTGCTCTCCTGTATTATGATAGTAGCTTGGCCAAATGGGTGAGAAGCAGCCTGAAAGCACTATGTAAATTGATTATTGGGGCAGCAAGCTTTTAAAAGACAGATTTTGGAACCAAATGGGTCTTGAGTTAGAATCTTGCCTCTGTTACTTACTGACTACTTAGTCTTGGGCAAGGCAATCTCTGAACCTCAAGTTTCCTCATTTCTAAAACAGGCATCATACCTACTTTCCATGAAAATTAGGAATCAGAGTAGAAATTCTAGTGAGTGTAAAATATTATATTCCAATAACTTGTATTTTTTCTGATTACTAATGAGCCTGAGTATCTTTTGATGTGTTTATTGACTATTTGTATTTCTTCTATGAAGTGACTTTTGTCTTTTGCTTATTGTTCTATTGGCAAATATAAAGAGCTTATAGCACAATGAGAGGTACTCAGTAAACTTTGGAGTGCCTTTCATTACCAGTTGGATGTGTATTTTCATTTTTGTAATGTCTATACTTCATATGTTTGACTCACACATACCTGTCAATTCCTCTTGGATTGATAGAGACCAACATGAAAACAAAATGATTATGCGAATTTATTTAAGTATGGAGTTGGTAAAATGAATATAACCACTGAGGCCATTTCAGACATAATTATATTCTTTGTTATTAATTATGCCACTATATAAATCTAGGATTTTAGTACTAATTATTTTTCTCTTCTTTCCTTGAGCTGTTGTAGCAAACAGTGACGAAGCTCAACTTCTGACACCAGGAAAGATGAGTCAGCGCCAAGGGAAAGAAGCTTATCCAACGCCAACCAAAGATTTGCATCAGCCATCTCTCAGTCCAGCAAGTCCTCATAGCCAGGGTGAGAAGTTGTGATTTTAACGTTTTGGGTTTTTTTTTCCCTCTTCTGAAAGGAGAAAGGGGTAATGACATTTGGGGTCTATCATAATTTTTTTTCTTTGTAGCTATTTGGTTTATAAGGTTTTCGGTTCGTTTTGTTTGGGTCACCCATAATATTCTTGAAATGAGTACATTTTTCTTAAAAGTCCTTTCATTTCTCTTATATTCTCCAACACACTTTCTTAGTAACACCATTCTTCTAATTTAGTGATTCTCACACTTTTTGGACTTATGGTTCCTTTACACTCTTAAAAATTATTGAAGACCCTAACACGCTTCTGTTTATGTGAGTTATATCAGTTGATATTTGCTGTATTGTAAATTAAAACTAAGAAATTTAGAAATTTTTATTATTCATTTAAAATAATAATACACCCATTACATGTTAATGTAAAATTTATTAAGAATTACTATGTTTCTTCACCACCATCACCCCAAAAAATTGATTGAGATGGTTGGTATTGTTTTATCTCAGGATTTCTTAACATTGACATTTTGGCCTGGGTAATTCTTTGTTGTGAGGGGCTGTCCTTTGCATTATAGGACGTTAAGCAGTATCCCTGATCTCTACCCATAGATGCCAATAGCGCTTTCCCCAGTTATGACAACCGGAAATGTTTTCAGATGTTGCCAGATGTCCCTTGAGGGACAAAATCATCCTTGATTGAGAGCCACCATGTGATAGTTTTTGCAAATCTCTTTACTGTCTGGCTTAATAAAAGACACCTGGATTTTCATATCTGCTTATTCAGTCTATTGTGATGTGATGATTTCATTGAAGTATGTGAATAAAATCTGGCCTCACACATATGTAGTTGGAAAAGGAGGATTATATTAATAGCTTTTATATGTAATTGTTAGGTATTCTTTGATAATATACCAAAACTTGACAAATAATAGTTTCTTGAATGTTAGTTGAAACATGAAATCTGAAACTGTATCAGTACTCTTTTCATACTCTATTAAATTAAAATCTATTAGTCTGTCTTGAATTTTGAATGGGTCTTTACTCCTGCATGATTTTGTACTATTGTGCATTAGTCATTTAAGAAATACTCGTTTACTGAATTATGCAGATCTTCCAAGTGTTGACACACTTTAAAATACAGTATAGAGAATTGCTTTATGCACAGTTCTCATTTTGTTGCACAGAATATTCAAACCATGTATACTTAAAGTTCAAGATTACTAATTTTTACTGCTTCATCTAGGACATTTGTTAGTGAAACTGGCATTCTTTTACTGTGAGTGCATGACCGTGAAGAATTCAGTGACTACTGTTACAATTTGGTCCCTTTCCCTTGATTTGTGCTCAGGTGTCAGCATTTTTACCCAACATTGCTTTTGCACTGTCAGTAAAAATGTCAACATAATGAAAAAGTGTTATGAAACTGGTTTTGACCTTGCAGGCCCTCTGAAAGGGTCTTGGGGGACTCCCAGAGGTTCATGGATTACACTTCCTAATTCATAATTGATGAGTTTTGTGTAGTGGATTCTGCTACTCAGCTGAAGTTTATTTTATCAAATGTTCTGAATTCTCCTGTGGATATTACTCATAGCTGCAGTGGAAGGACTTCTGCTTTTAAAACTGAAAACTTATATTTGGTGTCTGAAAGCTAACATGTACTCAGGTTATTGACTATTTTTCAAAATTAAATCTAAAGTCCTAGCTGTCATATGGTATGTCAGGTTTTGGTGTTGTAACTTTATGAATTTTCCTTTGAATGCAGACTTTAGTAACTTCTTTTTAAATGAGTACCAATTGGTAAATAGTAAATTATATGATCATTTTCTACTTTGTATCAATGGGAAATGTTTTCTAGTCAAGTGTTAGATGGGAACACTTTTATATAGCATTGTGGGAACTGTAAACATTTTATATAACAAGATGAAAAGAATTACTATGTTAACATTTATTGTGTAGTCGTCGAATATATTTTTGGACAGTTAGCATTTTTGTTGCCAAAGTGCTTTTTTGAAGATATGAAAATGGACATATGGTACATATTCTGGTATAAATAAGCTTCATTAAAATAAAATTCTGGAAAGATGCATCCATCCTGGTTTTTCCCATTGTGTGCACCAGGATTTTGACTGTGATAGATATGGTTCATCTGATTCATGTATCTGTGGCGCTAGAATATTTAGAGGTGTTCTTTAGACTTGGTGAAACAACAAGAGGGTAAGTTACTAATAATTAAAACTACCCTCACTTGTGTCTATCATGAACATTTTTAGGCAAACAGAGAAGTCGAAAGAAGAGTACAGTGAACATTAATATACCCATTGTGTAGCTTTAATAAATTATAAATCTTTTTTTGCTTCATTTATTTGGAGGTGGACTATTTAGAGTAAGTTATAGAACTCATGATGTTATATCCCAAAATACTTAATGTATCTCTAAGAAATAAGCACATTTTCTTTTGTTAAAAAAAAATTATTTATTTTGAGACAAGGTCTCACTCTGTCATCCAGGCTAGAGTGCAGTGGCATCATCATAGCTCACTGCAACGTCAAACTCCTGGGCTCAAGTGATCCTCCTGACTCAGCCTCCCAAGTAGCTGGGACTATAGGCATGCTCCACCACTCCTCGCTGATTTTTTTATTTTTGTAGAGACAGGGTCTAACTGTGTTGACCAGACTGGTCTCAAACTCCCAGCCTCAAGCAATTCTCCCACCTCAGCCTCCGAAAGTGCTGGCTTAAGCCACTGTGCCTGGCCCAAGCACATGTTCTTACATAACCATAAATCCTTTATTACATCTAACAAAATTAATGATAATTGCATAACCTAACATCTGGTTCATATTTACATTTCCCCAGTTGTCCCCAAGTTTTTTTCAGTATGTTTGTTGAAACCAAATAAGGTTCATACATCATATTTCGTTATGTCATTGCATCTTTTATCCTGAAATGTCTCCTTGTTTGTTTTTGTTTTCGCTTGCTCCTTTGACTTTTTAAAGAAACTGGGCCAGTGTCCTGTATAGTGTTTGACTTTTTCGATTTGTTTGATTGCTTCATTGCAGTATTGTTCAGTTTTTTTCTCTATCTTCTATATTTTTTGTAAATTGGAAGTTAAATGCAAAAGCTTGATTACATCTAGGTTGAACATTTTTGGCAAGAATACTTTGAAGGACTGTGTAGTACTTCATGCTACATCACATGAGAATTCACTTGATATCTGATTGCCCTACTGTTAGTGATGTGAGACTGATCGGTAGATTCAAGTAGCAACAGACTGATTCTCTTCATTGTAAGTTGCATCTTTTCTTATGACTTGAAAGTAAAAATGGATATGATATATTTGGCACCCTGCAAATATCCTGTTCTCCATCAAACTTTTACTAAAAGAGTTCACACCCTTTGATGATCATTAACTGAATCACTTGTAATATTAGGAGTCGAAAAATGATGATTTTCTAATTCTATCGTTCTTTTTACATTTGTTGATGAAGTTTTTCTGTAAAGAAGAGATCTTCGTCTTAGGGCTGCTTGGTAAATGTTGAAATATAGTTCCTGCAGGAAAGGCAGGATAAATGAGTATTTGTTTCCTGCTAAGGAAGTACCAGTTTTTAGATTAAAGAGATGATGTAAAGTCTACTTCTAGAGTTCACAAACCTTTTTGCCTTTTCAAGTTTTTTTAATGTCATGAAGAACTCATGCATTTTTGTATATTCATTATGTTTTAGTCATTGGTAAAATGAAGATAATATTAATAATATTTAGCACATAGGATTTTTATAAGGTATAAAATGAGTTAATATGTGTAAAAGCTTAATACAGGTAGGTGATAGCCACTCATGATAGTTGATGTAATGATAATAATTATTATTATAATTATTACTATTATTATCTTAAATAAAAATTATTCTATTTGGGTTGAAGGCTTTTTCAGCCTTTGCTGTACTTCATCATCTTCTAGAGGCTCATTTAGAACTTCTTTTCATATGCTCATTGGCCACTTTTATATCTTTCGTGAAGTGTCAGTTTATATTTTTACACATTTAAAAATTGACTTGTTTATATTATTATTGAGTTTGAAGAGTTATTTAATATATTTTAGTATCATCTTTTGATAGCTGTGTGTATTGTGAGTGTTCTCTTCCCGTTTTGGTATGGCTTTTTATTTTCTTAGTGGTTTCTTTCAAAGAGCAGATGTTTTTAATTTCGATGAGGCCCAGTTTATCAATTTTTTACTTTGAGTCAAGCTTTGTTACTGTTGTTTTTTTTCCTATTAAAGAAATCTTTGCATACCCTAAAGTTGCAAAGAATGTTTTCTGTGATTACTTTTAGAAGTTTTAGAGTGTCAGGGCTCTGATTTCTTTCCTCATTTCCATTCTTACTATCACCATCCTTGGTCAGGTCTTCATCAGGTCTTTCATGCCTACATAGTACCACAGCCTCCTGACTGCTGTTCGGACCTTGTCCTCCAATATACCAGGTCCATCTTTATTAAAAAAAAAAAAAGGCAATGAAACAAAATATTGTTATGTATTTCAGTGAGATTATTATGGGATCGGGGTTCTTATAGCTGTATGTGGCCAGAGAAAACATGGATCTTATGAAATAGATCTCTGAGGAAAATAATATGAATGAAGAAAAATAAAAAATTGTAAATGAAAATGCCACTTTTTATTATTCAGGCTTGTATAACGCCTGCATTTATGTTACTCCCATTCTCAAAAAAGCAACGGCTTTCTGTTGCCTAGGGCAATGGCGCCCAGGTCTGGTTGTGTCTGAGCATCACCTGAGAGCATTGCTTAGATACAGATTCCACTCCACCTTTTCAGAATCTCTAGGGTGAGGCTCAGTAGCATGCGAGTTTATAAAGCTCTCCATGTATATCTGATGTAGCAACATTTGGACCAGTAAGTGGAAAACAGCAATTAAGAGCATAAATTGCAGCTTCCATAATCTGGTAGTCAAGGCTAAAATTTTAGTATGTCTGATTCTACTTTACTCTT